CCGCCGCCGCCGCCGCCGCCGCGGCTGGACGCACCTCGGCTGCTCATCGTGCTGACATTTGTCGCTGCCGAGAGGCGCCGGCTGGCGGAGAACCTAGGCCGCCGGGCCTTCTTCGGCGGAGGCCCGTGCGCCGCCAGCTTCTGTTTTGAGGGCGAAGGCGTTCTGTTTAGGCCGCTGGGCCCTCGGCGGCCCGTACTCGCCGTGCTCCGGCGGCGGGGACAGCGGCGGTTGGCGGGGAGGGAGGGGGCGGCGGTGGCGGTGGAGGGGCCGGCGGGCGTGTGAACGCCGGCGAGAGCCCCGTCGATCTCGAGCTGCTAATCGCGGACCCGCCGGGGGGAGACGCAGACGCATGGGCCAACCCGGCGACGCTGCTCGGCGGCGCGGCGGCTTGCTTCCGGCGGGCGGCGTTGGTCCACGCCAACCTCACCGCCGCCGAGCAGCACTATATCGGCGGCTGGTCCAACGTCGGGCCAAACAACCTCCTTCCGCGCCGTGCTGCTGCACCCGTCCGGCCGCGTGCCCTAGACTCGAAAGCACGCAGTCTCGTCCTTCTTGAGAGAGTAGAGTAGAGTTGTGTCTGGTGAGTTTGTGTGTCTGTGTGTCGCTCGCGCGTGTCGTCATCTTCTGTCTCGCGTCCACCCATACCGCGTTGTGTGTTTGCGTGAACTGCAGATAGTGGGGAAGGCATCGATCGCCACCAGGTGCCCCCCACGATCCTCTCGCCGCCGTCCTGAACGGCCAGCATGAACTCCAGCAATGGCATCCTCAGCTGGAAGAGAAGTTCCCTCCCATCATCCGTGAGACCCCGTGAGTCAAAACAGGTCCGCGCCACGAAGCCGAGGACTTGAGGGGAGAGAGCGGCACATGAGGCAAGGCTCGAGTAGACAGAGAGCGAGATACACTCACTTGAGCGGGACAATAGCAGAGGAAGCTGGCCGCCCGCCACACCGCCCATGAGGCGGCACACGAGTCGAGAAGCGAACAACAGACGAAGACGGCACTGCCCCGTGCATGGCCCCATGACAAAGACAAAGACGGCAGCCGGCACCGTTACCTCCACCGTGACACGAACACCGTGATGGCGACAGGCCTTGGAGCACGGCCTTGAGGCCTCATCGGCTGTCATCCGGGCCGGCAGCATCAGCCCTGACGCGCACACAAAACACTGACGCGGCGGGATGGTTGTTGCACTCGACAGCGAGAGCTCATCAACATTGACACTCGCAATTCACTGAGCGTCTGTGGGCCAAGGCCTGCTACAAAAAAGAAAGCTTCCAGGCAGATGTGACCACCCCCAGTTCATGTAAGCAAAGCTGTCGAGCGACCGCTGGCAGCGACTGCGGTCGTCGAGCGACACCGCCCAGGCGACCGCTGGCAGCGATCACCCGATCTAGTGGCAGCGTCACGGTGAGCCTACATCATCACCATTCTCGCTCTGTGAGCACACATCCTGCAAAAAACCGTCCGGGCTCCCGAGGTCGAGGGCCTGCGGTATACAGACCGCTGCTCCTTGGTAGCGTCGTCGCGGCCATGGCGCCCAAAGGTTTGGGTCGTAAAAACCACAAGCGAGATGGGCGCCGTCTAGTTTATACCGCACGTGTCTGCGCCGTGGAAAATGCATCTAAACGCCAAAAAGGAATCTACGTCACGAGTTTGCCGGTTTCGTCGCCAGATGTCACAGATCGCGTGTTTTCTTCTTCGTTCCTGCTCTTGTCCTCCCTCACCGCCGCCTCCCTCACCGCCGCTACCTCCCTCGCCTCCGCCTCCCTCACCGCCGCCTCCCTCCCCCTCCCTCTCACCGCCACCGCTCTCCCTCCCCCGAGCGATTCGCCGAGTTGTCACCGCTTCCTCCGTCTCCCACCCCCCATCACCCCCCTCGCCTCCACCACTCCCACTCCCCCACCGCCCTCACCGCCACCACCCTTTCTCTCCGTCTATACAGGTCAGAGCTATGCAGACGTGCAAGGTTGGGATGCAGGCAGAAGACGGCACTCTGCTCCCGGAGCTCGACATCAAGGTCCTCCCGAACACGGATGTTGCTCTCGAGCTCGAGCGGCGCTCGGAGCTCGCAGGCCTGAAGGTTCTCTCGCTCCAAGGCAACGACGGGACACACATTGACATCACCTCCAAGTTCTCCGAGATTGACAACAGCATCATGCACCCGTCGTTTGGCGAGGGCAACACCATCGTCATCCACGGAATCACAGCCATCGTGAAGATCCCGCAGATCTTTGAGCTAACGGAGAAGCACACGCCGCCATCAGCGGACCCGGGCAAGTACGGGCACGCGCAGAAGTGCGAGGGACCCTATGGATCCACATTCGTCGCCACCACGATCTACAAGACAGGCCACCGGCTCTACAACGAGTGGGTGCCGGAGGAGGACTACAAGGTTGCGGAGAAGATCATGCGCCTGGCGCAGGACCAAGCATTCCTCAAGGACAACAACTACTTCCAGGGGCGAGGAGGCAACGACAACCAGAACCGCCGCATCCCTTCTCGCCACCGGAACCGCAGGCCGGAAGACGAGGACGTCCTCGAGCACATGGACATTGACATGCAGTGCTGACCTGACCACACGCATCTTGCCTGCCGCCTATTGTCCAGAGGCAGAGTTCAGCTGTCGCTGGCCTACCCCAGCATCCATGGTCGCCGCTTGCCGGATACATCGCCGTCGCTGAGCAGCCGTGGCCGGTCGCCCGCGTCGAGCTCTGCGCTCATACAATGTATCGGCGAGGTTGTCTGGCGCGGCGGGCGCTCGCGCAGTCCGGCCTGATAAAAAAGACCGAGGTGAAGTGCTCGTTTTTTCTAGCGTCACCACCAGAGCATATTCGTTTGCGGTCACATTTCGTGGTGTGGTGTGTGTGTGGGGGGGGGTTCCTTTTTGACGTATGTGGTATGACGAAATCGAGCTCTGCTGCGCGAACCCGTTTCACACATCGTGACGACACATTTGTCCCGTCTGTGAACACAATGTTTCTATAAGGACACATGATTCACATATATCAGGGCTTAGAAACCGTGGAGCCTCGCTCCGGCTCCAGCTCGACGATCGGCTTTGGCTGCGTTGGCAACAACCACCGGAGAGCTCCTATGTGTTGCCTCCACGGCCAGTGGCGCACAGTCGGTCGCCGGAGCGGCAGATCGATGTGCGGTAGATTGCACACGACGGCGGGTGGGTGGCGGCCCGGGTTGGGCGGCGGGTAGCGGGCGCCAACATTCAGCTCGAAACGGTGCCAGTCGATGCGCAGCACCTGCGCTGCCGTGCCCCTTTGCCCCGCACGGCGCCGCGCTCGCGAGTCGACCACCAAGCCAGCCCCGCGTGCTCTCGGGTAGTAGAAGTAGAATGCGGCGTGATCGAGCGGGAGGAGGCACGCCTCAAGGAGCGGGTAGATGGGCTGGAAGATGAGAAGCCACACTGCTACGTGTGCCGCGTGGCGCAGCCGGCCGACCACCATCTGTCCTTCCGGTTCATGCCATTCGCGTTCGTACTGGATGTGCCGTCGGAGGACCTCAGCGGCGCCGAGGCGTGCACCGCTCGGCCATCGGTGCAGAGCGCCGCGGCGTAGGCAGTAGATGGACACCGAGGTTGCGAGGTAAGAGGCAGAGGCAATACCCGGATTTGCAGCCACGGCCGCAGCCGCAGTGCAAAATGCACCACCTCCAGCAACACAGGCGGCCAGCGCGTCGCCAACGAGCGCTTGGTGCATGTGTGTATGCGCGACAGCGAAAAAGAATTTACGAAGTGACAGGCGTCTACCTCCCATCCCTCCCTTGGGTTGTCTGTTTTCTTTCTTTCTTTTTTACACACGCGCGCTAGCCGCTGTCCACACTATCCACGATCGGGCGGCGCGGTGCTTTTCCGGCGACTGCAGAGCAGACTCTCTAGGTACTGTCGTGGCGGGTGCGCCTCTCGGCTCTCGCGCCTTGCGAGGCGGGACGGAGGGAGAGGTGGGAGGCGCCGACTAGTCGGCTGTGGAGGCTCCACCTCGCCACCGGCTCTACCCTCGCGTCGGCTCTAGCGCACGGCATGCTCCGTCGGCAGGCCCATGCGCGCGCAGACCCGCGAGCTCTGCCGTGGGAGCTCGCCGACCGCCTGCCGGACCTCGACCGCGGAGGTGGTGGCGGAGGGGGGCCGCTTGGACGGGCCACCTTCCGAAGGGGCCGCCCGCTTCGGCCGCGTCAGGACGAGCCCGGCCCTTCCGTCCATCTCGCGGCTGTTGAAGCCGGGGATCCGGCGCTGCTTGGGCGGCGTCTCGTCGGGCCGCGGCAGCGGGGTCTCCTCGCCCTTGTTGACGGGGTGGCGGCACATCGGGCAGTCGGCGGTGCAGCCGTCGCCGAAGTAGCGGTAGAGGCACGAGCGGTGGAAGATGTGGCCGCCGGGGCACGCAGTCTTGACCAGGCCGCCTATCGACTCGAGCGTCTCGAGGCAGATGGGGCACTCCTTCTCGCCGCGCGTGCCGCCGCTCGCCACGCGCGCCTCTGCGCGGCGGCGCCGCCGGGCGAGGGCGAGGGCCGCCTCCGCCGCCGTCGCAAAGCGGCCGAGGTCGATGGTGTAGCCGTCGCACCACTCCCTCGCGGAGTACGGCCTCGACCCCACCGCGTTCTTGACGCCTTTGAAGCCGGTGGCGCTCTTGTCCGAGCGCACTAGTGTCAGGTTCTCGGCCGCCGCCGCCGCTTCCGCCTCCTCGGAGGTCATCGGCTCCGAGGGCGCCGGCGCTTCCGCCTCCTCGGAGGACATCGGCTCCGAGGGCGCCGGCGCAGCGGCGAGGGTGGTCATTCCCTTTTGTGCCAAGCGGCGGGCGATGGCGAGGGCCGCCTCCTGGGGCGTAACAGAGGAGCCAAGGAAGTGGCTGTGGCCACTGTACGTCGCGAACGCGCCATACGGTCGCTGCAGCTTGGCCTTTCTCACGTAGACGCCCTTGAAGCCGGTGGGACTCTTGTCCGACCGCGCCAGCGTCAGGCCCTCAGCCTCCGCCGCCTCCTCCGCCTCCTCGGCCGTAAGCGGCATTGGCGGCTCTGGCCCAAAGCCCAGCGCCTCATTCACGGAGATAAGCGTGCGTGCAGCAGCCACGGAGGTCATCATGGCCACAGAGGAAAAGCCACAGAGCGATGACAGAGTCACGATTTTTCCACGCGTATTTTTTTCTTTTATCTTTCCCACCCACCAGCGAGCGGGTACTGTCCCGGGGCTTTTCGCACCGCTTGCGACGGTGTTTTTCTCGCGTTATCAAAGAGGACCCAGGCGCTGCCGCTCGCCCAGAGGACCCCCAGGAGCCTCCCGCTGCCGACGGGATAAGGGCAGCTTGTCGATTCATCGCTAGGCAGAGCGACACACAGACACAAGGACAGCAACAAGAATTCTACCACAGTCGCACAACACCGGGCACGGGACTGGCGCGCACTGGCACTAACACAGGTACACCCTTAGGGTACACCACGGGAGCCGCCTAAGCGACTCCTTCGATGACAGCAAAAAGAGTTTAACGGTCTGTCGTCTGATAGGCTGGCGCACACTGGCACTAACGCACACAGGTACGAAAAGAATCGAAGGTGCATGCCCAGTGTTGTGCGAAAAAGAATTTGTCGTGCGGACAGCACTGCCACTGGGCCTCGAGCACTGGGGGCAGAGGCCAGAGGGCGACTGACACGTACTGAGCGCTGGCAGCCTGCCTGGCTAGCGGCCAGCCTGGCCCTGACAAGCCTGTCAGCAGTCAGGGGAGAGGGCCATGGCCCACAGGGCGCCCTGCGTGTGCGGATTTTTTACGAGATTAAAAGTTGTGAGCGTGACAGCTCCTGACACACACATCTGACCCCCAGTCTCCCCTCGGCAGTCACCCGACCTCAGCCGCTGACACACGCTGCCGCGCGTCCAACGGCAAAACGCTTTGTGGTCGTGCCTCAGCCCTCACAGCTCACACGCCAATGCTATTTACGTCGAGACACACCCATGCTGCTACGTAGATACTCCTAAAGCCGTACTCAACTGCAGCAACACAAACAACATCGCTCTCTCTGTCTTCTCTCGCAACTGCGCGCAGATGCGCCGTCGCCGCGGGACGATGCCAAGCCTCCCTCGATCGGCTACACCGCCAGTTCAACCTCCTCCAAGTCATCCTGCCCATGCCCCGCGCAGCCTTTGGGGGCTAGAGTCTGCGCTCTTGGCGAGTGCGGAGGCGGCATCGACAGTTGCAGTGGTTGGAGCGGGGTGCGCGGCGACTCGAGGCGGCCCTGGGCTCGCGCTCTGGCGCGCAAGCGTATGCCGGGTGAGCCCACGGCACGCCGAGCGACGCCTGTGCCTGCTCCGGTTGGCGCGCCAGAGGGTGACTCCGCAGGGGAGGCCTCTGCAGCGTCGCTCCCAGAAGAGGCGGAGGAGGAGCGTGGCGGCAGCACCTGCCGGGCCGTGACGTCGGCGCGTCCGAGCTCCAGCGCCGCCGTGCGCAGCCACGACGGCGTCGCCGCGACCTTTGGCGGTGCAGTAGACTCCGCCTCGGGCTCCTCGGTGAGCGAGGACACAGATCGGCGTTCGACCACGCGCGACGGTGCGAGCAGCCCGGCGCTGCTCGCAGCCCCGATGGCGAGAGCCGCCCCGAGCGCGAAGGCGGTCAGCAGCAGGGCGAGGAGCAGCGCAGGCGGTGGGAGCGCTGGCGGAGGTGGCATCGACGGAGGAGGGGGCGGCTTGGGTAGAGGCGGTTGCGTCAGAGAGGAGAACACGCCGTTGACCAGACCACCGGAGGCGGCAGCGGCGAGGAGGTGGAGCGCGTTGGCTGGCAGCGGCACAGGGATCACTTTCATGACCCGCAAGGGCACCACCGCAGTTGCAGTGCTGCCAACGGACAAGCGTCGCAAGGCGGACAAGAGGGTGGCCCTCGTCGAAGCTGCGATACGTGGCCTCGCGGTCCGAACGGCGACGGCGGCGGAGATGACGCGTAGGGCTGCTAATGCGGCAGGATTTCCAGTCGCGGCCGTGGCAGCGGGGATAGCAGCTCCGGAGGTGCGCGCCAATTGGAAAGCGGACCACGAGGCGGCCTCCCACTGTCGCAGGGCCTCGAGCATCGTTGATGTTGGCAGGTGAAGTCGGCCCTGGGGGCCTCAAAGTCGGCGAAAAGAAAAATTAGGTGCCCGGTAGGCTTGGCTGCAAAGGGGATTTTCGCGTTTTGTTTTTTTATTCAGGGTTTTGCAACTTATTCCGTTTGCAACAAACGGAATCAAGAAAAGAAACGACCGCAAAAGCAGGCGGCGTCTCGTGCTCGACCAGGATCGCCGTCCCGGCGCGAGAATGCAGCCGGGCTTGCCGTCGTGCAGCCCTTTTTGCTTCGGCTCGTCGTCAGCGACGCGCCAGTCCTGGCGCAGCCGCCCCGCCGTGCGGTCCACGGCCTTGCAGCCCGTCGACGCGCCCGACGACGTGACCGCGGCCGAGATGGAGGCCTTCATGGACCACATCCAGCCGAGCTTGTACCAGCCGCCCGACGACAGCGACATCGCCCATGAGTTCACGGCGTGGCTGGCGGCGCGCCGCGAGACGTTGCGGACCGCCGCCGGTGCAGGCCGCCCTCGCGACTCGCAGGCCGACGTCGCCGCACCCGACGCCGCCGGCGGCGAGGAGTCGCCCGACAACGAGACGGGGCGCGCGACTCCGCCCGCACCTGCGCCGGCGGCGGCGTCCGGCCGCCGGCGCCGGCGCAAGCCGCTCGCCGGCGGCGGCGGCGAGAAGGAGAACGCGGACGTCGAGATGGACGCGCTCATGGTCGAGCGGCCCCGGCCTGCGCAGACGGAGCAGCGCTGGCGCGCCGTCCTTGCCGCGCGCCACGAGGATTACGACCGGGAGCTCGAGAAGGACAACCCGGAGCGGCCGTGGCACAGGGTGCCACACTTCCAGGGCGACGTCGAGGCGGAGTGCAAGCTGTGGGCAAGGGTCTCGCGTGCGCTCGGCGAGGCCTACGCGCGTGACGGCTGGCGCATCGAGACCATCGAGTTTGACCCCAAGCGACCCGGGCAAGCCAAAACCGCGCGCGCCACGCGCCACAAGAGGCTGCGGGAGGCGGCGAAGCGGGCGGAGAGCAAGGCTGCGGCTGCCGCCGCCGCCACCGCGACGCCGTCGCCCGCCGCCGCCGCCGCGGCGGCGGCGGAGGCCTCGGAGGGCGCGGCGGCGGAGGAGGAGCTGATCGCGGTGCGGCGAGCGCAAGCAGAAAAGACTGCTGCACGGCTGTTCGAGCAGCTGGAGGACGGCGAGGAGGAGGGGGAGGGGGAGGCGGCTCGCGAGGCGTCAGCGCGCACGCTATCCATCGCCACTGATGCCTTGCTGGGCGTTCTCGACGCGGCCGACGGAGGCACCGTCGAGACGAAGGACGCGTACCAAACGGCGGACAAGCCGCTGGGCGAGGGGGAGGCGACGGAGGCGGTCGAGAAGGACAACATCACCATCGCCTTCAACAGGACCATCGTCCGCGAGGTGCGGCGGCTCCTGCAGACGTACGGCGGCGATCACAGGCCGCCGAGCATGGGCGCTGAAATGCACTACGAGCTCGCTGCGATGGAGGGCCCGTACGCTGACCCGAACGCCTTCTCGTGCGACCCGGACTCGCTGTCCACGCAACAGCTCGACGCGCGTTTGCTACTGTGGTACCGGCAGTGCCTCCCCAAGCCGCCGCAATGGCGCGCCGACCCAAAGCTCAAGCAGCAGCCCTGGCGCGGCGCCGGTGGGCAGGAGCTGCTGCTGCCGCAGTGCTGGCCGTCGCATTGGCTGACGCGCGCGCGGCTGCTCGGCGCGCGGCGCGGCGTCGCGCTGACGCTGCGCGAGGCGGACGCAGAGGCGCACGGCGAGGCGCCGCACGCGCCGCAGCTCGTCGCGGACGCAAAGTTCGCGTTCGAGGTGGCGCTGCGCGAGCAGCAGCCCGCAGGCGCTCTCTATGAGAGCTACCGCCGCCTAGCGGCGGCTCTCGCGCACTCGCGGCGCACTCGCGCGGGGCTCGCGCTCCGCCACCTGGCCCTTTGCCCGGCGTGCAGCGACGCCCTCTGCTTCCCGGCGCAGCACCTCCCGGCCGTGACGCGCTACACGCTGCCGCCCGTGGTGCAGCGCGCCGGCTGCAGCGATTGCGACTACTTGGCGATGCGGCGCATGCTCGCCGCCCGCACGTCGTCGTACAACGAGTGCACCGCGAAGGACGCGGCGGAGTGGCTGCGCGGGCTCGAGCAGGCTGACGCCGTCAAGCACGCGTGGGGCGTCGTCGTCGTCGACGCCATCAACCGCCCGCCCCACGCGGCGACGCGGCTCGCCATCATGGAGGGCACGTTCGACCACGACTCCTTTGCCGCGTTCCTGCGGGCGACGCCCGGCGTGGCCGTGCCCTACTGTGGGGCGCATGGGCCGCCGCGGTCCGCGGCGGACGATGCGCCGATGCCGGGCGCGCCACCGGGCGCGCCGATGCCGGGCGCGCCGATGACGGACGCGCCAATCCCGGGCGAGCCGCCGGCCCCGGCGGCGGCGGAGGATGCGCCGATGCCGGGCGGCGGGCAGGACGCGCACCGTAACGGCTGCGCGTGCCCCGGGGGCTGCCTGGGCGGCCCCTCGTTCCTCCCGTTGGATCCGTGCTGCGAGTGCGAGGAGTGAGTCTCGTCGTCGCTTCCCACACTGCGCGGCGTGTGGGTGGGGGTCTCTGTTGATCACTGTACTGTACTCTCGCTCTCTCTCTCGCTCGCTCGCTCTCTCGCTCGCTCGCTCGCTCTCTCTCTCTCTCTCTCTCTCTCTGTGTGTGTGTGTGTGTGTGTGTGTGTGTGTGTGTGTGTGTGTGTGTGTGTGTGTGTGTGTGTGTGTGTGTGTGTGTGTGTGTGTGTGTGTGTGTGAGTGTGTGTGTGAGTGCGTGTCTCTCTGAGCTAATTCCTCTCCCGCCCGATCCTTGCTGCTTGCTGCGAGTGTCGGGGAGCGTGTGCGACCAGGGGAGTGAGTCTCGTCGTCGTGTCGGGGCGTAGCTGCTTTTTGGAAACATGTTTCTACTCGTTGGACCGGAGATGGGGGGGCAGGTGCACACCCCCTGCGCTGCTCAACCTCTGAGATGTTACTCCAGACACCGTACCGCCGTGTCTGTA